TTAGCTTTAGGACTTTCGAGAACTTGTCAAACCATGCCTTGGAAGACTTTCAAGCCATATAGACATTTCTACAATTTGCATGCTTGATCACTTCTTCCTTTATCAAATCCTAGAGGTAAAGTCATATACTTCTATTTTTAGTTCTTCATTTAGGAAGGCATTCTTGATGTCAAGTTGATGAAGTGGCCATTCTAGGTTGCCATAGATAGTAGAACTCTGACGGTGTTCAATTTGCCATTGGTGTAAAATTTTCTTTGCAGTCAAGACCATGTGTATGAGCAAACTTGCTTGCTGCCAAGCATGCTTTTAACTTGTCAAGAGTACCATCAACCTTATGATTTGGGGTAAAGACCCGCTTGCTGCTTACAAGCTTCTTGCTACAAGGCTTTTAAACAATCTCCCATGTTCCATTCTTTAAAGCTCTTATTTCTTCCACAACTACATTTCTCCATTTTGGTTTTTCCATTGCCTGATAGAGCACAATGGCGTCTTGCAATCCATGTAGCCGACCCCACCTAGTGGGATAAAGGCTTGTTGTTGTTGTTGTTGTTGGTTTTTCCATTGCCTCTTGAATATATTGTTAGGAACATCAACTTTGTCTTGATTGGTGACAAAGGCTTGGTAACTTGAAGAGAGGATTTTGTAGGACATATGCTTTTGAATTTGATGCAAATTTCAAGAATGAGAGAGTTTTCTAAGAACAATGGGTACATTAAGATTAGATTGATCGCAAATCTGTTCAGGAATTTGCAAAGGTGGCTTTGGATCAGTTTCTTCGGGAAATACCACTGGTTTTGATTCCTTTAGTGCTTCAAGTAGGATGACCCATCCTCTTGTGCTATGATAGAATATCTGTATCTTTAAAGGTTGATATAGAATTACATGTACTTGTGGCTTGTTTGTTACTTACTTGAGCATTTTCAAAGTAAAGCCCCTTGTGCTCTTTAGCATGGCCAATCGTCATCCCTGATGATAGAGCGATCCTAAAAAACACAATGAGTTGGGACAAAATTATCGCAACATTTAGATTGCCTTGTCAATTGACAACAAACAAGTTCCATGCTAGTTTTGGCACATGTAAGATAGATTCAAGAGTAATGGGCCCTAAAATACAAATACTTCCTTTTCCAGCAATAGGAGAGAGTCATTTGCAATTTTAACTTTCTTGTTTCCAACACATGGAACATAAGTAGAGAGTAATTGATGGCAATTGTTCATATGATTTGACAACCTTAGAGTTAACAATATTTATCTCGTGAGGTTTTTAGGGGTTGAAGAAAATTACCCTTTTTTGCCAATAATACTGAAGATATTGACTTTGAGATGTTTTCTGCAACAGCTATAGCTTTAAACTTAGCAATTTTATGCCTGGTTTCTTAGCTCTAGACTATCTAAGCATGCCTCAACTGAGTCTTAAATTGTTGCAACATCATTGTCTTGAAGCTGAAGATAATATTGTTCCTTATAAGCTTCTGAAATGAAGCAACCTTATTGCATAGAAGAAGTGCACAATATTGAAGTTGTAAAAGCAGAGACAGGAAAATTACAATCCTTCCCCAACTCATGGTAGGTAGATGTAGCAAAGGACTAATTTTGTAGCTTCTTCAATGAAGAAAGAAGTACCCATGCCTTAAACTTTGGAGGTGCAAGCTGGAATTGTGGAGTTGACCCTAGAGGAGTTGATCGTCAATGGGAAAAGCCACTCTTGCACCCCCTTACACTGACAGGGAATCACTAGAACCGAAATTGAAGGTGGCATGTGGAGATCACATGCACCGTCGCCTTCCTAGGTTTGGTTGATCTTGGGTGGTCAGATCCAAAGATGTCAAAAGCAGGTCTCATCCTCTTACACTTGAATCCTAGTCAAGAGTCAAGACAGATTTGATCCTCTCACAATAAAACCCTAGTTAAATTTCTTCACTATCCCTCCCTCTTCTCGAACCAGGCTTTGATATCATGTGGAACATTTGGGTGAAAAATATGTTTATTATTGATCTTGGATAGTGTGATACAGATGGGTATTCATACATCAAGATGGAAGACAAGTAATAATGACTAATAAAGGCTAATACTTCTAATAAATAGGAAAAAATATTTACAATAATTACAATACCTCCATAAAAAGCTTTATTGGCTTCATGAACAATTATTTTTGTTTACATCTTTTTGCTACATTATTGATTTTCTTGATATTATAATTTATATTTTTGTCTCTATTGTCGTTTGCTTTTTGATAGAGTTAGGAATAAGAGACGGGCTTGGAGGATTGCTCATTTTTATAAGGGTTTGGGCTTGAAAAATTGACAATTTTCAGGGAAATTGGGCTTCAGAACTCAGCCTTAATAAACCTTGAAAAATTGACAATTGTCTCTATTGTCTTTTGTTTTTTTTTTTTTAACCTCCCCTGTTCAAAATGCATCGCTTTGGAGTTTGAAGAAGAAAAACCTAACCCTAGTTACGCCTCACTTGTCACTCCCTCTCCCTCACAATCACGCTGGACTCCCTCATGTTGCTCTCCTCTCCCTCTTCTTGCTCCTCTTAATCTTGGCAACAGCACATTAGGGCGCTCGGTTTATCCTCATTGTCACTCCTTCTGGTCTCCCTCTCCCTCGCATCTACTCGAACTCAGCAAGTGTTTGGTGGACTCATCTCCCTTCATTGTGTCTTGATCTTGCCTTCTCGATCTCGGCCTACCTTTGATTCTCACTGTCTCGCTTCAAGTGCTACCACCTTGCTATTGTTGCCATCACCGACCTCAATGATAGCATTTGGGCTCAGAGCTCCTCCTTCCCTTAGGTTCTCTCATTTCTTTTAGATAATTTGACTTGATTTGATCACTTTTGGTTTTGTTTGATTTTTCCAATTGGACCTTGGCTTTGTGATCTACTAATTCTGTTTTATATGATCTCGAAGTTGTATGGCGAGATAGTATGAGTTCTCTTGTTTGCTTTTCTATTACTTACTCTTTCTTGTAAATTAGACTGGATCATTTCTTGATGTATGTCGTTTAATTGTAGAATTACTATCTCTAAAAGTGTACATTGCTTTTGATCCTCCACTAGCTTGAATTCTTTTGGATTTGGATCAGTTTGGACTTCTTGATTTGTTTTAAATTTTAGAATATTTAAATTTGTCTATAATGTTATAATGTTAGTTTTTTTTATTATACAAATACTAAATTTTAATTTAATTTTCTCCTCAAACGGGTTTATAGGCCTAGCCTTGAGCCTTTTAAATAAAGGCCAGCTTTAGAAATGGGGGAATTTTAGGGAAACAAGGCTTAATATGGGCTCAAGTCCACCCGTTTCCTGACTCTACTTTTTGAGATGCTTTCTTGTGTCTTTGTGTCATTACTTAATGAAACTTGAGATATAATGTACATCCCAACATTTCAAGTCTATCTCATTCTTTGTGAAATCATAATGGCTAAGATTTCAGACCAAAATGGGCAGAAAACACAGAATGGGTATGAGATTGGGAATTTGATGCAATACCATGAGTCACGCACTAGCTATAAGACACAAGACTCCCTTCATTGAAGTGGCTCTTTCCTCCCGTCTGCCTGGATTTTGAGTGAGTTCTTTATCATTAAAAACAGAAAGGCCTTTCCAGGATCAGTGTTTGGTTCTCTCATTCCATTCCCTTGTTACACTCAATAGCTGGAACTATAGCTGTGACCAAGGATGATTAGGAATCTGATGGACCGGGTAAGAGCAGTGAGACTGAAACAGGCCCAATGGTTGAGAGCCCAAGTTTCTGAGCTGTTGGAGGGAGTGTAGGTCCTAAGGCAGGTTTTTTCGGGTTTCTTGCTGGAGGAGGATGGGAAAGAAGCTAGTGGTTTTGTGAGGGAGGGTGCCTGATCTCTTGAATCCCAGGTTAGGGATGGAGGAAGGCCTCTTTCTTCATGTTGTTTTCTATTTTCCAGTATTTTCTGTTGGCAGTGAGATTTTTGTGTGAGCGAGTGTTCCTTTCACTTCCAGTAGCGTATTTCCATTGTGTGAGTTTCGATCTCTTGTAATTCTCTTCCTTCTCCCTTAAGAGGGTATTTCGATCATTAATATAACATCATTTTTTGCTCAGATTTCTTCCCTAGATTTATTTGCTGTTATTTTCATATTTGATTGCTCGGGTCCCATCAGAATGAAACCAAATTTATTCATTTCTAGTTGTGAAGAATCATCATTTTTACCCCTTAAAAAGAATGGCTGTCCTATGTTGTTGGCGAGGATGTGGAAGGAGGTATAGCTAAGAATAAACAGACAAACCACAAGGAAAGGATATTATATCTCTAGAATTGAGGCTCAAAATGGAATTTTCACTCTGCCGTTTTCTGTACAAATCTTGGGGAATACTCGTTCTTATGGAATGGAGGCAAAAATGGAATCACCTTTCATTTGTAACACAATCTCCTTGTGAACTGAGGAATCTATGCAAGAGCTTGTTTAAGTACTTTTGCTGTACTATCCTCTTTGGACGGGCTGAAGAAAATGACTTGAGTAATAAACCACATTGCACTTTTAAGTTGAAAATAGTTTTTGGGTTTAGGATTTCATTTTCAATGTACTCCCTTTGGTCTTTATTATAAGGGGTTTTCAACTATTTCACGAGAACCAAGAAATGATAATTAACTCAATACACGTCTTGAAATAAAAAACCTCCTAACTTTACCCCTATTAAAGATGGCAAGAGAATGGTGCACAGTATATGATAAACCATAAAATTAAATTTAGAATAGGGGTGAAATTAGAAAATGATAATAAATAATCCTCCATGTGTTTATAAAAAATGATAATAAATTAGAAAATGATAATTAATAACTTATTAAGGACAGAAAAATCTTTAAAGATTCCATATAATATATAAGCACTTGTTTATAAATTTGTTTCTAATTTGCTGGTTTGTTGTTTCTGAAAGCATATTTGCGAAGAATAGGTATTGAAAAACATGTCTGATCTTTTATTCTGAAGACAGTATCAATATTTTCTCTAAAAATTGCACAGTAACCAATCTGTGCGTTCTTGCAGAAGTCCAGAAGCTTAGGGAGATTGGACATGAGCATCTCTCACCGGGTGATGAATCAATTAAATGTGCCACGGCAGCAGCTGAATTTGGTTCTGTTGACCCCAAATTCCATGAGTCATGGTTTTCTGGCCAGTCTGAAGTCGAAGGAATTAAACAAACTGCTTCAAGTTTCTTGGAACATCGGTTGATGATGAGCCTGACCGAAAATGTAAATAATTTAGAACTCAAGTTGGAGGAAACACAGAGAATACTTGCTGCGAAGAATTCAAGGATCGCTGAACTCGAAACATCCCTGAGAAATGACAAGCCTCCTAGCATAGAATCAAGTACCCTCGTGCATTTACCAGAAGAATATAGAGAGGCGGATTTTGATCTTGATGAGCTTTTTAGGCAAAAGATTGAATCTGAGGTTGAATGCCTGTTGATCACAAAGATGATGCATGATTTGAAGGTTGAAGCAGATTTTCACCTTAAACAATTGGAAGAACTGGAAGCACTGTCCAGGAAGCAAGCCCAGTTTCTGCCTAAGCTTGTGGAGGCAGAGAGTAAGGCTTCAGTGCTGAAGAACCAATCAGAAGAACTGGAAAATCATCATGGTGGAACTTTAGAAGTTTTGGAGTCTTTTATGATGCAAAAACGAGTATATAAGGTGACTTTTTACTTTTGGGTACAGTTTTTGTTGTTAATCTTGGCCTTTTGGTTTTTCACGTCACAGTTGGCCCCCAATGCAAAGGCTGTTGTACCCACATAAGTCTGCAAAACTATGTTCCAGTTTCTGTATTCTAAAATTGCTTATGAATGTAACTAAAATTTCATCATCTCACAAACTCATCCTCCCCCCAGCCCCCTTCTCTTTGGGTAGGGGGATATTTGCTGTCTTGTTTTGAATTCTTTTGTTCACCGCTGTAACTGAAATTTTGGCTTTTTATGCAGTTTTTTATTGTCATTTTGTCCACTGCTTGTCTTTAAGAAACCGATTACTTATAACCAAATGATATTTTTACGGGTGGGACTTCACTGAACCTCAAGTTGGGCGAGCTAAACAGATTTCCAGTGTGGTGGTTTTTCATTCTTTTCTTCTTTTGTGGCGGTAATGGGGTGTAAGATCTGACCATGTAAATTTGTTATATATAATTGAAAAAATGACAATTAAGTCTCAAAGGATTAATTTTATTCAAGATAAGTCCCAAAACATTCTGAAAGGCCAGTTAAGTCCCTAGGTCCTTGAGTGGCATTTTAATATAATGAGAAATGATCGAAATATCTTTATTTGGCTGATGAAAATGTGAGGTTTCTCCTTCTCTACTCTTCCTTGCCCTGTTCGTCATCCCTTCTTTCCCTGCCTTGTTCCTCATCTCTTCTTTCCCTGTCCTGTTCATCGTCTCTTCCCTGTCTCATTGCAAGTGAGTAAAGCTCTCTATCATCTCTTCTCTGAGCTGTCCAATAAAACTGTCTATCATCTCTATTCTAGTTCTGTTTAACATCTCTTCTCTACCCTAAGTGATTAATTGCTTAGGTCATTAATCTGTAATCTGTTTTGGTTATTAATCTTTGATGGGTGTGATGTATTTGCCTAGCTGAAGAGTTTGATCCTCATCAACATTTACCATTTTGATTATGCAGAAATTGCTTTTTTTTTTTTCAATTTTTTTCTCTGAGTGTCTTAGCTGAAGGAGACTATGTAGTTTGTACAAGTGATGACATGCTCAAATGGATTTTAAGTTCGAGTTTATACATTGTACCCAATTAATCAAGTTTGCGACTTTGTAACTCTGTAATTTGTTTTCACAATTTTATTTCCAACTTTTAATATTGAAACGTATTTATAATGTTCAAGTTATACATTATACCCAATCAATCAAGTTGTCAAGCAACTTAGATACCCAGTTTTACAACTAGCTCGAGACAAATTTGCCACTGCTTGTCAAAATTTTGGATGGAAGAACCATTAAATTTTTAAAAAAGTTATTATTCTAGGACAACGCTCCAGTAATTTGTAATTCAAACACTAGATTTTGCAACTGTCTTATGAATAATTTGCAACTTCTTTTCAAAATTTTGGGTGGAAGAACTATTGAATTCTTAAAGTTAATATTGTAGGATAATGCTTCAATAATTTGCAATTGAGACACCAGCTTTTACAACTTTCTTACAAATAATTTGCACCTCCTTCTCAAAATTTTGGGTGGAAGAACTATTCAATTCTTGAACTTGCAAAGCTACTAAATTATTTTAGGATATGGCTCCAGTAATTTGCAACTGACATACCAGATTTTGCAACTTCATTACAAATAAATTGCAACTCCTTCTCAAAATTTTAGGTGGAATAACTTTTGAATTCTTGAACTTACAAAGCTATCAAATTATTTTAGGATAATGCTCCAGTAATTTGTAACTGACATACCAAATTTTGCAATTTTATTATGAATAATTTGCAACTCCTTCTCAAAATTTTGAGTGGAATAATTTTGAATTCTTGAACTTGCAAAGCTACCAAATTATTTTAGGATATGGCTCCAGTAATTTGCAACTAATATACTAAATTTTGCAACTTCCTTATTAATAATTTGCAACTCATTCTCAAAATTTTGGGTGGAATAGCTTTTAAATTCTTGAACTTGCAAAACTATTAAATTATTTTAGAATATGATTCCAGTAATTTGCAACTAACTAAATATTGCAACTTCCTTATGAATAATTTGCAACTCATTCTCGAAATTTTGAATGGAATAACTTTTGAATTCTTAAACTTGCAAAGCTACCAAATTATTTTAGGACATGGCTCCGGTAATTTGCAATTGACATACCAAATTTTGCAACTGCCTTACAAATAATTTGCAACCTCTATTCGAAATTTTAAGACAACACACTTTTAGTGATTACAGAAGATATGAACTGTACATATAAGTTGCATGTATTAATTCATCTAATGCATCTGCACATATCAGTTGTCCACATACACAAAAGCATGAACTTGAATTTATAAAAGAGGGGTTGCTATGTATCAAAAAACCCCCCAATACTACCAATATATATGTATAAAAACCTATATATGTTAACCAAATCTAACTTGATCTAAAACTACCCATATATATATATCACCCAAATCCAAGTTCATGTAGTAACCCATTTACAATAACATCAACTTGGATTTAGATTTTTACACCTCTTTCATGTACGGTCTGCTTCATGATAATGAGAACAATGATAAACCTTCTTCTGCTGATATTGAGACTCAATCCTCACATGACGAGGTCTGCTAACTGATCGAGATGTTTTAGGAGGTAGCAAAAAGGTTTGGCTTATGAGCTTAGATACTGTCAATGCATTTGGCTTTGACATCTCATGGGTCTTAATATGTGCATAGTGTCATTGTATATTTTCTCCTATGAACTACGAAGATAACATGCATAATGCAACACTATACTTGTAGATTGCTTGTCTACAATCATCAGCACTCGCAAAAATCTGCTCAGGTCCTACTAGTAAATCTTTCCACTTTGTTGCATTCAGCTCAAGCATTAGTGTTGGGATACTTTGTATTGCACATGGTAGAACTTCAAGATCTTATGTAGCATGTGAATTCTCAGCTGAACATTTTGCTCTGCATTTTCATTCAAATCATGTTTATTACTACTATCCATATTCATATTAACATAATATTAATTATGCAACTATTAAAAAAACTTACCCATCAATTGAATCTCTTGTTGCCTCTGTACTTTGCTATATCTTCCCAATGATGTACACATGAGCAAAATTATCATTCAATTTCATTAATTGATTTATCCCTTCATCATCTTTAAGGTCTAAAAGAGCACTGCAATCAAACTTTACTATGTACTTCAACTCTATTCCATTTAAATCACAATTCAAGCATGATGAAATCAATCTAACAAGTCCTTCAAAAGACATTCCTTCTCTAATCATTCTTTCATTACAACTCCCCCCCATCATAATACATTGTCCTATGCATATCTTTTACAATATCTCCACTAAAATGAAAATAACAAAAAATTTTCTTTAAACAACTACTTTCCATCATACCCAATAATATCAACCTATAAGAAACAAAATAAAATGTAATAATATATCACTTAGAAACAAGTTACTTTTGACATAAGTGATTTTCGCATCAGTTAAACAGTGACAGCGTTCCATCTTAAAATATGGACACTTGATAGTAATTTCTGACATTTTCAATTGCAAAATGTCGAATCTTCATGCCAAATATTTAGAAACGTGAAATAAAAAAAAATCTTTCATGTTCAGTTGCAGAAAACCGTTCCATCTTTTTCCTTACGAAAGCCATTTTGCAAGAAATCAAACCTTCATGGAGTAAACCTTTTTGTTCAGATGCAAGGATTTGCAAAAAAAAAAAAAATACCTGTCTGCACGCACCAGCACAACTCCTTAAGCTTCCTTGAGTCAATAATTAAGGCAACTCACCTCTTCCAAGCATAACTCTATTTTAGAAATGGGTATTCTTCAATGTACAGCTCCATCACTTCCATGTAACTCTCATTAATGGCGGGAAAGAGATAAATTGGGAGGAAAATGTTGGAGCTAATGAGTGTACATGTTATATTTACTCATAGGGGCATTTTCATCATTTTTTTTGTAATTCTGATTGGGAAAAAACAGCATGGGACTTGATTGGCTTTTTAGAATTAGTTGGGACTTAACTGGTATAAAATTGATCTTTTGGGACTTGATTGTCATTTTCCCTATATAATTTGATGCAACCCAATCCATTTGCCAAGGGTGTGATGGGGTTAGGCAACCAAGAGACTATTTGTAAGGCAAAGGGAGAATATTTGTTTTGATTCTATTTATACGGTATCTCAATAATTATTATATTTATATTTATCTTTTTGCCCTTTATAAATGTTAGAAAAATTATTAAATGTTAGAATATTTTATTTATAAAATAAATATATTTAATAGGAGTAAAGTTTGAAAGTAATTAAGTTTTTAAATAGAAATAATGAAGTTTAAGATTTTTTTTTTTTGGGCTTCAATGAAATTGTTGGAAGTGACTTGAGACTAGAGAGAGTATATTAATAATTGTTAAATTTTTTATTTTACTTATGGCCTCATTTCAATCTTGAATATGTAATGAGTGTTAGATAACTCAGTGTGACTTGCTAATTAAATATAAAGGTTAACCTGACCCTAAAAAAAAAAAAGAAAAAAAACAATTAGCATGTTATTAGTTTATCTTTTAATCTTGCAAGAGGGTTGAACTTTTATATATAATCAAGGGTTTAAATGTGTATTTATCTCTGTATTTTCTTTTGAGAAGCACTGGATATCCTATGTTAATAAGAGAGTTATTTTTTTTTAAACTATTTTTTAGAAGAGCAAAATCTCTCTCCGTTGGTGATACGTTAATGGAGAAGGATTTTTTGTTCCTTTAGAAAATATTTTAAGAGAAAAAATGTTTCATTTATTAATATAGAGTGCCAATCACTCATTGACAAAAAATAAATGGGAAAAAAATGCACTAACCCTTCATATAACGCAATGTTTTTTATTTTAAAATTGAAAAAACAAGTCACAAATTTAACAAGATAATATTAATTTTATTTGTTTATTTGGATGTTCATTCATTTCTTTTTAATACAAAATTAGAAAATATTAAAATATTAAATTTGAGTGGTGAAATACTTTGAAGAAAGACCATTAGTTGAGCTGAAAAATTACAGAAAATGATTTAAAATATTCAAAATACTTAATCATTATTAATTTACTATAATTTATTGAAAATGTTATTGTTATTATAATAAATATTGTTAAAATTTTTAAAATTTATTAAGAAAATGATATTTTAATAAAATTAATATTGATTAAGTCTCTTAAATTTTTTAGATCATTCTTTGTAATTTTTTTTATTAACTAACAGTCAAATTATGAATATTTAGAACTGAAGTATTACTTATTATTAATTGGTATTTTCATATAAGAATTAAAGTGCATTTTTTCTCATGCACTTTTCTTCAAAGAGCATTAGTCATTTTATACTAATAAATGAGATATTTTTTACTTAAATTATTTTTCAAAGGAGCAAAACCTTCATTAATGGATCATTAACACAGAGAAATTTTTGCTCCTCTAACAAATAGTTTAAGGAAATGCCCTACTTATTAATAAAGGGTGCCTACTACTTCTCAAATAAAAGTACAGGAAAAAAAATACACTTTAATCTTATAATTAAAAAAACTAAACATATAATCACCTTTTAATAATTCATTGATACTTATCGTTTGTTTGGATGTAGAGAAAAATATGGAGGAAAAAAACTAGGTGAGAAAACGTTTAAAAATAGTAAAAAAAAATTACTATTTTAAAAAAATTTCTTTTAGTTTTCTCTCTTTGTTTTCTACCTACTTTTCTTTCCATCTGAATCAAGCCAAAGTGTGTCCTATCTCAAACTTGAATGTTTAAAATTTTATGGCAAAAAAACTAAAATTAAACCTAATTAAAATTAGGTATATTACCGTGTCCTGCGCACAATGTAATAAATGTATAATAGTTTTAATATTTATAACTTACCATACAATTTAATATAAATATAAATATTATAATTAACATCAATTATGGGCTAGTTTACTTCAATTTATTTTATCAAAAAATCACTTATTTTTTAACAACATATTTCTAATTGTATGTTAATGACTTTTGTTTAAACTTTTGAAAACAATCAAAATAAAAATATATATTTTTAATTATTTTAAAAAACTAATTAAAATAACCTCTAAAAATAATATAGCATGATAGATAAAAAAGAACGTTTTAAAAAAGCAGCATACACGAAAATATTATAAAATTTTAAAATAATTAAAAAGATAAAAAGATATAAAATTTAAAATTAACTAAGTAATAATCACATTTTTATTATTAGAACTGAACATAAAATAATGTCTTTTTTTAATAAAATTGACAAGGGAAAATTACAAGTAGGTCCCATAAAATTTAATTAATTATCAACAGATCTCATAAAATGTATAAAATACTTTCAAATCTCAAATTCTATACATTTATAACTAAATAAAAGGTATTTACAACTAGCCAATGATCATTTACAACTTACAAAAAAAAATGACAACCTATAATAGCAAGTTATAAATGCCCACATCCCAATTGTAAATGCCATTTGCTAAGTTTTAAATGCGCAGAATTTAAAATTTAGGAAAATTTTGTACATTTCATAGAATCTCTTAGTGATTAAATATCTTCTGAGACCTAAGTGTAATTTTTCAATCTATAAAGTATATCTTTTTGTAATATCTTAGCTATATAAAAAAAAATCATTTATTTTTTATTAATCTTAAATAAAGGGCATTGATCAATGGAATCCATAACTGGCGTTAACTTCAACATGATGATAATCTCAAACATTTGCCAGTTCTTTGTTGAAAGCCGATCTCAAACATGATAAATAATACCGTAGCATGAAAAAAATCTAAATTATCCTAATATATTCTTAAGAAAAACTTTGGGGCAGAAAAAATGTTCGTCCTTCTAAACTGAAAGCACATACAAAGATGTAAAAATAATACGCTGCGGATTCCTTTCAATGTTTAACCCTAGAATCTGTGAAATCTGGGATAAGTTTGAGTAAGGTGTGGGAAAGAAATTGGAAATAGAAATTCCACAAATTTCTGGTTCGAGAACCGGCCTACGTTAAACGTTCCTTTGATTGAATTAGTTGCTAGAAGAGAGAGCTTGATTGACAGAAACGAAAGAGTGTATGATTATGTGGACCCATCCAGGCAAAGGAATTTGCAGAAACTTAACTGTTGGTTCCAGCCTAATACTACTTTTCTTACCCATGCCCACTCACCTTGTGAGAAAAGAGGAGAGAATAAACACTTTTGAAAGCATCCATTGATAGTTGCTTTACAGTTAAATCTGTTTATTCTTTTTTATCCGCAGGTACAAGAAGGAGAGCTAATGGTGCATGAAAAATGCTATGGAGGTGGCCCGTCCCCGTGAAATCTATCATGTGGCTTTTTAAGCATGGGAGGACCCACACCTAGGAGCTGAGAGAAGAGAGGACTTGTGACTAAAGGGAACTGCCCCTTTAGTCGCGAGGCTACTGAAGACTTGATGCATTTGATGCGTGATTGCCCCGAATGCACTAGAAAGATCGAAAGCTACTGTCATAAAAGACCATTGGAACATCTTTATCAGCCTTACCAGTGTTGATTGGCTAAGATGAAACTTGGATCATGAAGTAGGTAAAGGTTACACAAAAAAGGTTACCTAGGCAACTCCATTTGGTTAGATTTGCTGGGATATTTGGGTGAAGAGATGTAAGAAAGTCTTTAATTCTAATTTTGGTCATGACTGGTGTTAATGACTACCGGACTGTCCTATCTAACTTCCTTAGAGCTTGCTTGAATACTGATCGTCTTGATATGGTACCTTCATTGACCAATGCAAGCAAGCATTCAAGAGGTAACAGGATGAGCAGATCTGATGGTGTTAAACTTGAGGTGGATGGCTCTGCTCTCTCTCCTGGATGTAGTAGCTACGGGCGTTTACATCCAAGATGGAGTTGGAAATTGGGTGAAGCAGTTTAGATGCAAACTTGTTAATATTCCACCTATTATTGCGGAACTGCTGGCTATTATTTGGAGACTTCATTTATGTTGGATTATTGGGACGCGCATTGTTATCTATTACAGTTGCATTAACACCATAACTTTGATCAACAAGGGTGAGGAGTTACACCCCTTCAAGGATATAATTGATTATGCGACTTTGCTATCATAGGAACTAGAGCTTTAGCTATTCACCATGTTTCTAGAGAGTCTAATTGTACTACTGATTATTTAGCGAAGTTGTCATATAGCTTAGGTGTTAATTTTCGTACCTTTGACCATCCCCTACCTCTCCCCCAAGAGGAGGTAAAGCATGAGTGGTTGCTTTAAACCCTTGTTGCTGTAATCTGTTTTGATTATGAATGCATTCTTCAGCCCAAAAAAAAAACAAAAAAAAAAGAACCAAGAACTAAATAATTGAACATAAAAATCAAGAAAGAATTCAAAGACTCAACATTCTAATTTGTTGACTTATAACGTAGTCACAAATCTTAACTTATAATTTGTCAACTTCCAATTAAACTTCCCACACATTGTCCCCATTGACTAGCAACAATCCAAGACTACAAAATTCAAACGCCAACGCCCACAAATCTAGGGCTTGTTTCGTTTTATTCTCCTTTGTTGTTTTTAAAAATTATTTTCGTAAACCAATTTTTCAAAACAAAAAAAATGTTTGATCATGTTAATTTAAAAACACTTTTAAAATTAAAAAAATTGACTAATAATGATAGCCGTTAGCAGTTAATAACAATGGCTTATAATAATAATTGATCAAGCTAGCTGTAACTTCTAATAATCAAATATAGCATATTTGAAAACAAGAAAAATAAAATGAAAACAATTTTAAAATATTTTTATTTTTTAAAATATTTTTATCCAAATGAGTTTTTTTATGTTTTAAAAAAAAATTATTTTAAAACTACAAATCAACCAGACCCCTAGGGGCAAGAAAACGTATTCTTTTGATCTGTTCTTCACTAGTGGCAAGAAACTAAAATTTTCAGTTCAAGTAACTTCAATTACCACTAAGTTCACAAGAATGTACATACACGAGAACAATCTTTAAATTCTAGAATAACCTAATTGACAAGGGACAAGACCCAAAAAGACAACCAAAATGATGGAACCTGCAACGCATCTATAGAATTGCCACATCCAAGTAATCACCAATCTGCATGTATAAACCAAGCTCAGTAACAGGGCTAGTAAATCATAATTATCACTACTAACTTTTCAACATAGCTTAAATTACTTTCCATTGTTTAAAAAAAAAGTATAATCATTCAAAAGCTATAAATATCAATTTATGCCAAAATAACACATTTAAGAATATGAAATCCATTGAACTCGCATCAAAAATTGAAAAACACGTGTATAAAGATCAAAGACATGCTAAAACGGCAATTGAACAGGTTCCTTGATCTTTGTCTGCAAATTCCTTGAGCAGGGTCTTAAAAATATATGAATTAGAGTTTCTTTTCACCAGTGGGGTGGAAGTCATTTACTATCTCAATTCTTAATCAAGGTCATAATAAAACAGCATACATATGTTCACAACAAACATTTCGAGTATATAATGTATATTAATATTATTACCCAAAACTTTGTTCAAAATAATCGAGCTAGTTACACAAACTTTCATTGAATTCTACAAAAATTATATAAGCCTTCTCTTTATAAGCTCACTCAGTTAACCATGTCATGACACGTACCAGGAAAAAACATGTTGCTTACCTCAAAACCAAGTTCAGCTAAAGCCTTGCCATCATCTAATCTTCCATTTCCATATGAAAAAGCCTTCCCCACCTGCATGAAGTTAAGAGAGTAAAAGAATGAGGAACAAACTAAAAATCCAAGCAGTGATGTACAGTAGACCACACATCCCACTAAGATGTGAACAATAACTCAGAAGTTACTAATTGCCTCTTCAGAGTCAAAAGAATGAGACATTCAACACAAAAACCGCATTAATTTGGAGAACAATTTCAAAACGAGCAAGTAAGAGGTGAGAAAAAAGGGATACTTTTGTCAGGGTTTTCTGTTTTTAACAATAAAATAGGAAGAAAGCATGAAGCAAAAGATAGCACACTCGTGAAAATCGGCAGCAATGTTAACAAACTTTAGCTGATGGGATATACAATAAAGTCAAATTCACGATTGCAAAGAAATCACTAGGGAACATCAAATATTCAGGTGAGAAGCTATAGGATACGACTCTAAAGTTATGTAGTCTGCATTAAGCAAAAAGACACAAACTCGTAAAGACAAAAGGACTTGCCTCTCTAACTAAGAAGCGGCCATGTTTATCAGGATAAACAAATGCGAAGGAGAGCTTTGCATTTCTTCTCCTTGCAGCTGGAGCCACTTCTTTAACCTGCACAAAATGGGTAGTCAAGTCAACCACAAAAAGGAAAGCATGAATAAATGAAAAACACCACCATTTCAAGAGGGACCTTCCACAAACAGAGATGATGGCATTTTCAGAAAAAGGGGAGCATCAATTCAAATGAATAAATGATTTCAATGAATCTGGTCTTTGCAAAAGCACAGATTCTGTCATGGTGATTGGTAAACCATCTACTCTAAATTATAGTAGCAAGATATCCTCTAACTGAAATCTGGCTAAATGCTATCTAGCCATGTATCTTATAAATAATTTCTAGCAACACTGTCTTTTCACATCACTTCTACCCTAATACCTAGTGTTGCTTTAAATTTATGAACTCAAGCCATGCTGCACACATCTGCATAAAATCCAAGTGGCATCATAATTTAGAATAAAGGATACACAGCAATGACTCCGTTGCACCAGTTAAATATAAAATGGTGGGGCAGACTTTCAAGCTCATGATAACATCATAAACACTAGTTGGATAGAAATTTAGGTATAGAAGAAACTGTGGAATTATCCTAGTACATCCCAAAGAGCATTGTCCATTTAATATTTCACTGAATGTAACATTCGAGAGAAGACATCTTACTAGAACACACAGGCCAACCTTTTCCTATTTCAAACGTAGTTGGTTTAAAATTTTTATATAACACCTTATCCTTCTTTCAATTCTTTAAAGACTACTAGAAGTGAACCATTTTATGATGAGGCCTTTGCCTAAACAATGCTTCTTTTACAAACAAAAGCCTTAAATAGAGTCTCATCAAGGAACTCATGTATCCTGCTCATAATTCTAAACGAAGACATAAAGGAATAATGGGGACAGATATTCTTCATACAAGATCAGTTAACTCTCTAAGAGTTGCATCCTTCCACGTATAAATTTGAACCTCGTCCTTGGGCTCCTTGCCTCTCACTGCAAATTCCTCATTGGTATGATGACCTCCAGCCTGCAGAATTTAAAGAGTACAGTACAGCATAGATTACTATCTCAGATGATATGTTTTCATGTCTTGCAAGTCACAACGAAATTATGGAAGTACATTAGAAGACCAGGATATGTCTGAGTGGATGTGTGCATACATTGATTATGTGCACCTACATGTATGAAAAGATTAGAAAACAAAAGCAACATGGCATGCAGCGGATGCCAATCAATTGATATCAGCGATGACAATCAGCAGTTCAAGAGGGGGGGAAGGCCGCTAGCAAAGGGTTCTAACTAGTGATGGGTTCTTAATAGCAAGACTAAAATGCTAAAATGAGCTGTTGTAGACTGTACCTGCTGTGATGCCATCTCTCCAACGGGCCAACTAATGGATATGGGAACTAAAACAGTATGGGATGCCCCCACTTTGAGTGAAATGGGATGCTACATGGTATACATAAGTGGATTGTTTCTCTTGTCCCAAAAGCTAACTTTTGCATGAGGGGTTAGAACTAGTCCTGAGCAAGATCTAAAGGCCCTGCTTGGTATGTGAGACTGAAGGGGCAGGATTGGTATTGAGATTGAGTAAACCCCAACTTTTTATGTTTCGTATGGGGTAATAAAACATTTAATACCAATGCCAGTCCCACCTACATGGGTTTTCTCAATACCACCACCCCCATGGTACTAGAAAATCAATCATGGGATTAAATATTTGCAGACCAAATTACCCTCCACTCCTCTCCCCCCCCCTCGTCTACCTCCCCTGCCATCCTTTCATCCCCTTCCTCCCCTGCCAGCTGCCGGTGACGTCTTTGCCGATGGTGCTGTTTTCCACCCACAGTGACAGTGTTCCTTCAGTATCCCCATCTTCCAAACAGCAAGAACAAGGGTAATGAACCAAAACGACGACAAGGTGACCAGATCTGAACCAATCAACCTTTCCAACAATGCAGAGTGCCAATAGAGATTCTTGAAGTTTCTGATGTTTTATCCATTATTCAAACTGGTTCAATAGCCAACCAGTGCATCTCATAGTTAAAAACAGTTGCTTAATCTGAACAAACTTGAAGCAAAGAACAATGAATTCTCTATGCGAAGCAATCTAAAAGAGAACAAAGAAATGAGTGGCAGGGAAGCAAAGCTTACAACACATTTGGAACCATCTTTGGAGGAGCGACGCAATGAGGATAGGAGGATGAAGGAAGAAGCCCAGGTCTGGTTTTTTGGGTCACTAGACAGTCGTAGGAAACAGAAAAAGAAGAGGATAATTATGTCTTTTACTTTTGTTTTTGGTTTGATCTGAGCATGATTTTTTTTTTTTTTTATCCCATCACCTACAAAACATGATTTTAAAAAGTCATTCCCACTCTCAATCCCATGCCCAATCCCATTCCAATCCTATTTCCAATCCCTTAAAATTCAATACTTCATACCAAAGGCCCTTGATAGATTTTAACACTTGCTCTCTGCGATTCGAGGACCACATGTCCATGACAGCCAAGGTGCAAAGCCTCCAATGATGTCTTTCTTTTACAAACAACTCAGTTGTAAGAAAACCATAATCCCAATCATCAACGGATAATTATATTAACACGACAAACTATAAGTGACCTCTGAAGACAGAAAACACAATCCCTTAAATCAAATGCATGAACAATTATCACACCCACAAAAGTACACAAAAACTGGAAACTTGAGATAGATCATCATCAAGCATGTAAAGTGCAGATACTGCAGACCGGCATACCTTAGTAAACACTCGCAGCAGCAGCGGGCAAGTCTGCAAATGCAATCAACAAAATAACTATAAAAACAAGAAATCTCCACAAGAATACCAGCTAGGTTTAACAAGAGAGGCAAGAAACGAAACAGAAAACACGCATTAAGAAGATAAAGCAATTAAGGACTAAGACCGCTAGGTCAATGAACGATGGAAGTTAAAAACTGGGTTCGGCAGAAAGATTGACAAAGCGGGAACCTTTTCGCGATCAACAGGTTCGAAGCGAGGGCGTGGAGGAGGAGGAGGAGGTGGAGGGCCTCTAGCAGGTGGGGACAGTGGTCGGCCTCCTTGCCTCTTCGGTGCGTCCCTCATCTTCTTAGGGATTCTACTGGCTCTGGAAGCTGCGTGAAATTTTGTTTCAGAATATCTTTCTCCAGTCTGGGTCTGAGCCTATTTTTTCTTTCATGCAATATCTAGTAAATTGGGACTAGGTTTCGTTCCTCCGCTGCAGCCGACACCTAAAATAAATGTTTTTATTTTTATTTTTATTTTTATTGTATATTTATTAAAATTATAAAAAAATAATATTAAATTTGGATGCTTTATATTAATTTTAGACTATTCAAATTAATAATTAAATTTTATTTTATTTATTATTTTAATATTAAATATGTACAATATTTGAATACTTAAGTAATAAAAAAAATTTTATTAAATCTAATTATTAGTTTGAACAGTTCAAATTTAATATAAATAGTTAAATTTAATATTAAATTTTTATACATATTCTGGACAATTCAATTTAATATTAAAATTGTAAAAAATTTTAATATTAAATATAGACTACTTATGTTAAATCTGAATTATTCAAATTGGTAATGAAATATATTTTTTATAATTTTTAATAGATATAAAAATAAAACATTTTAAATTTAAACAATTCTAATTTAATTTATATTTGTTGTCCCCCACTAAGGTTCTATTTAGTTCAATAAGAGGGGAGGAAAAATTTTAAAAATTTTATTAGGTGGAGGGGCTCCCCTCCCCCTCCACCTAAAAAGGAGGCTCCCCTCTCCTCCCCCTAACTAAACATACCCTAGAAGACAATGGAAAGATTCTCTTAGCGAAGGGAATCCAACTCTAATAAATTATGCATTGAAGACCTTAAGTAGACTTCAAGGGTTCAAGCCTATATATTGTAGGCTTTACATGTTATTGTAATAAAAGTTTAACATGACATTTTTTTTTGGAATGAAGAGATTGTGTCCTAGGAAAATCATTTTATTATGAACATTGTAATTTATAATAAATTTTTCCTTATTTATCATATTATTTACATGTTCACTATAGTAATTGCATCCGAGAATAAATTGTAGTAATTGTCTTTAATATCCCTGATCAATCATCTTTGTGATAACAAAGATGAATTAAGATTGGTATGTTTTTGATCGATGTGTAGAGATACAGATCAAAGTCATAGGCATTTGTAAGAGTATAAGGTGTTAAAGTGACCTGCCATGAGAAAGCTGCATAGATCAAATCAAAAGCTTATCTCATATATAACCATGTTATCAAACCTTTTGACCTAAGATCATCATAGATTCCTACATGAGGATCACTAAACTTTGACTTAGTCAAAACTTGCCTTTAACCGGGTGATCATAAAGGCTATAATCAAGTTTTATGAATTCCATGTAGAGCAATGTGAATGGTCGAGATTGAATTTCTCTCTTACATTAGTAGAGAGATGTTATTGGGCCCCTCGATAAAGTAAGACTGAGAAATGCATGGCCATGCTACAATGGAAAAAGGTTTTCATTTCTATAGTCAATTTATTCAAAGATTGAAAAAGTAATGGTTACGTAAAGGAGGAAGACATTTCCATGTCTTGCACGTGACCAAAATATAAAGTGACAAAAGGGATGTGATATGGTTGTATTATAGGTTACATCGAATCACCAATTCTTATATGATTTGAGTAGTTGTAGCATTTTGATAGGGGCCGCTTGCAACTTGTGGATTGATGACACTATTGGCAAACTGCTAATTTCATATGGACCTACAAGGTTGCACACAAGAATGGCCCATCTTGAACTATATTGTTCAGATTCATTGAATCTAATTTGTGTCTTGATTCAATGGATACAACATTTAAATTTAGGGTGAATAGATTTTATATTTATGTATGTATGTATATATATATATATATTTATGTGATAAATATTTATATGTATATATAATATAAAATTCAAATTTAATATTATATACTCTCTTAGTTCAAAAATGTAAGGTATTTTTAATCTTTTGAGGTGTAATCATTGTCTTTATTCCAAAAGTGTCATTATTGATAATGACTTTATATTTATTGTAGGATGTTTAATAGGGGTAAATATGAAAAGATAGAGTTAGTTTGAAAGTAAGTAATTACTTTATTTTAGGGTGAGATTCGATTAAAAATACTTTATATTTTTTAATGGAAGGAGTAATATATATGATATGTGTGTGTGTGTATTATTATATTATATTATATTATATTAGCATTAAATTTATTTCTATAAGATAGGATAAATTTAATAACTAATATAATATAGAAAGATATCATATAAATTTTGAAATTTAAATTTATGAGATGAAGTTAAGATATATAAATTTGATTTATGAAAATAAATTAAATTGTTTTTTGTTGGCTCTTAATTGGATTAAATAAAATAGTTTAAATTAATCTATTGGATAGATTTAAATTTAAACTAATTTTGAAATAAATAAGGATTAATGAAAAAAATCAAATCTTTGAAATTAATCCTTATTAATTCAAATATCTATTCAAAAATTAGATAACCAACCTCTATATAAAATAGAGGCTAGTTGTAACATCTTAAAAATTTAATCTCCTATTAATCGGATTAATTAAGAATAATTAAGTGAGATTAGCATGGTGTGTGGATAAAAAAGACTAACGAGAGTTTTGGGTTGTATTTTTAGACCTAAATGCAAGCCCAAAGCAAGGTCGGGTCACCCCAACCTTAAAGTGGGAGAAAAATCAAGGAAAATGGCTTTATGCCGCTTGCTGCAATGAGTGCATAGTATGTATTGGTATGCAAGTCACAGAAACACAAAGGACCACTCTCTCTGTTTTTTTTCAAAATCATCAAAATCTCACTAATCGAATATTGCACAGCGGAAGACAAATACATGCATTCATCACTCTCTCAAGTCATAGCTTAAAATCAAGGTAACAAAATTAAAAATAGGGGCATACGCCGCGGCATGTGGCACAGAGTCACAAGCTCTCTTTTTCGTGCCATGCACCACAGTGTGATGCACTATGCGCCGCGATGTATATGATAGAGTTTTGCTGTTTTATGGCAATTCATAAAAGTGAATTTCCTGTGTGCATCGTTTCCTCATATAACGTCCAATCGGAGTGGTTCAAGTGCCCACACGAAGCTTAATTCATGAACTAGCTAATGAGATAAGTTTGGATATTATCCAATAGTCTAATCAAAATTTAAGCACTCAAGGTGCAAAAAGTCACTTTTTTTATAAAATTTATGCATCAAAGTGTTCAAATCACATAATTTGTCTCATTAAGCCATTTTAGGCTTAGAACCAAGTCTAAAAAGATCATTTATACTTGATTAACCACAATTTATAGCACATATGCACATAAATCAAAATTTAGCCACTAAGTCGCCCATTTCACAGCAATCTAGCCTATTTCTTACCAAATTTCACAATAAATTCACTTTATCATTTCTAACTCAGAATTCACTACTAACTCACTATTATCGATACTTTTATATACAAACATAATACACTCTTAACCCACAATCACAATTTGCCACTTTTTCACATAAATGGGCTAAGTTCACCAGCTAACACATTTCTCCACATAATCACTACTATACAATCACAACACATTTTCAATTAAATCTTAGCTCATAATCACACGATTCAATACATGTAACTCATATTCACACATATTGGGCTAAGATTTTCATAATCACTACAAGTGATAGTTCAAAATATGCATATGTCATCCTATGGCAACCTTTCATTTACATTATTCACAATAAGGGAAGTTCATTATACAAGCTCTGATTTCACACGACTTTAACAGCACTAAGCCAGTCCTGAGTCTTTCCTTTTACCAGACTTACTATTTTAACCTATAAAAATGTAACTATAGGGTTAGATAATAATCTCAGTAATAGAATAATTCAGTACTACTAACTACTACAAGTAACTATAAGCAAGTATGGTATATACACAGTCAAAAACAGCATATAACATAATTCTCATTTCATAAAACCATTTTCACAACTAATCACCACTATTTGTATGATCGCTACCACCCAAACCTCCAGATCACCCTTCGACTAAAATGATAGGCTCCCAATAGGCCAATACACACTTATTGACCTAAGCATGTAATATCCTAAATTTCTTAATCTCATGATTAGCTATTAATCAGGGGTAAAATGTTAATTAATGTGATATTAGAGATTTGGATATTATTTGATAGTTTGACTCGTTGGGATGTTGTATGAACCAGTATGGGTGGAAAGATTGCATTTCAGGTCGAAGTGTGCATGCGTAGTGAGAATTCTTCTCACTGTGCCATGCACCGCGGCACATGGATTAGAAAGTAACTTCTTAAGTTGTGAAATTTCATGAATTTCAGAGAGAGAAATTAGAAAACACATGAAAGGAGAAGAGGAGAAGGGCTGGTATGATAGGGCAAGAGATTTTGGAGCTGTGAAAGGTGCTTTTGATCAGTAACTTAGCAGGTAAGCTACATATAACCCTTATCTTCCATTCTACCTAAATTTATCTGAATATGAGTTATAAAGAAATGGAATCGATGAAATTTTAGGGATTTAATTCTTACTCAATAGTAATAAAAAGGTTTTTGAGAGTTAAATTGGAGCTTTGCGACTGGTTTAGAATTGAACAATAGAGATTTAAACCCGTGGGCTCAATTTGGCCCTAATTTAATCAGATTTTAGGGTGAAAATCTTGTGTAATTGAATTGAGATTGGTTGAGATGATGTAAAGTGGTAATTGAATAGTAATAAATCTAGAATGGATAAATAGGAAAGAGTAGATAGCTAAATATAGCCATAAGTAATAATTATGTATTTTTGGTCAAATTGGACCAAATGACTAAACTATGCCAATTGTGTTTAGATTGGCAAATTGCATGTGTGAGTTGACAAAGGAAGCTTGTGACAAGTTATAGTGGTAGTTAAAATCCACGGATGACCTTTTTAGTAACAGAAGGGTTGAGGTAATTGAATAACTCTCTTTGTTTAACTATTTATTGTAACTGTGTGTGAGTTTACTATGTAATACATGAAATAGTTTTAAACTAAGCATGTTTTGTAGCATTGAATGTTTATTACATAAAAAGAGATTATGGTTAAACAAGTAATGAAATTTGTGTAATTTGATGTAAAAATGTGTATAT